TTAAATCTTAATATAGGTACTCTAAATAAAGTTTATTACACTGTACATAAATGTTTGTTTTATATATTATATAGTGTATGTATAGTTATGTATATATATTGTGTATATTAAATACATATTATACATTATATATACTGTATATTCTCGTAGTATGTTTTTCAAACAGAGATTTAGAAAATATGCATAATCTAAGTTTAATTGTTGTGCTATTTTCAGTAATCAGCTTTAAAGTAAATGTTTTGACGTAATATGGAACGGTTACGTAGGTGTTCAATTCGCACGAAAAAATAAAAAATAAAACCGTCTAATGAAACGAAAAAGTAACGGTATAAACAGGAGAACAAGAGAAATCATAACTAGGAGAAAATTTTGTACCAGGAATCCAGAAGTATCAACGGCGAGTAACAACAAGCGCCGAGTATCGAGTGCAATTGTATTATATGTTTTGTGTGTTGTTATTTTGTTTGAACGTTGAAAAAACACTTGACCACCTACCGATTCCACTGTCCGGCACTTGTCCACGGTGAAATCTTCATGTCCGGGGGACCCACGATGGCCAAAAACGGTGTCCCGGACGGCCACGGTTGAGGATATTGACGTAATGCAGTACCAGGAGCTCAGGACGAGTTGTTCTCGTGTGGGCGAACGGCGCGGTTTCACGGCGCTACCGAAACGTCCGTTTGCTTCTGAATTCCTAACCGCCCGAACACCCGTATTGTGTCTGGGCAAAACACTGCATTCGTGGCTATTTGGCCATATCTAATATAATATAATATAATATTTTTGTATTCCTCGTGGCTATTTGGCCGGTTGTTTGCTATGTTTTATTTGGCGCCTGTGCGAGCACTAATTATTTCCCAATCAATGAATTGTACAAATTAGTTGATTATTCGTTGATTTCCAAACGGTTGTGCAATAAAAAATTGTATTTCTCAACTTGAAGTGTTGTTTGATAGGGCATTATATATTAAAGTTACATATATATATAGTTATAGATACAGATATATATAGACAATACAGACCATTGTTTTTTTTTTTTTTATCGTTGTATGAATTTAGCGTTTCTCGATATCAGCGTATAGCCGGCTTATGATACGTTTTGTTTACGTTAATACCTTGTTGCTATTCGTGGACTCGATGATTGCATCAATTCCATTGATTGTTGAATTTTTTTTTACAGAGATTTTTTTTTTTTGCTTCTATTAGCAGAGCAAAATTTGCCACAATTATTAACCATTTTATTCAACGCAAAATAATTTAAATACCCTCATATACCACGCCTATAAATTATCCAAAGTAATTTTTTCTTGTAGTTTTCAAGTGTTCTACAGTTAGTTGACTAAAATATCATTGTTATTAAGTTCTTAACGTTTAAAGTATGTTTCATTGCATAAAACTAGATGCATATATACAACCTACCCGAAAAAGCGTTAATGAAAAAAAAAATTATAATTGTAACATCATTGTATTTCTACGTGAAATCAGTTCACTTTCA